CAAACAAACAAAAAATTGACTATATTCAATATTCATTAAATTAAAATTATTATCGAATAGTAGTTGTATCACAACAACCTACACTAGAATGCTCTCTGAGACGACCAGTAAATTCTACAATGGCAGACTCGATTATAAGTGATAGCAGTTTCTCATTAGTTCTTTATTATTAAAGTTCCTACGATTGAAACATTAACGATATTTCTCGGCTACACCCGTACCAGAGCCCAGCCGCACACATAGCCTACACACCGCCGTAATGCGGAATTCAAACAGGAACCTTTCTTTGGAGGTTGTTGCTGTTGCTCGGAACAATTTACGCACGGAACGAGGTTCACTTCCTCCTGTTACCCATGTGACGATCAACTTAACTTGACATGAGTTTATAGTTCACTGTAGATTTTTATTTAATAGGTATATTTAAATGAACATGGAAGATTTCGAGAACGATAATCAGTTGGGTGTTGAATCAGAGGAAGAAGAGAGCGATGTTTCAGACGGAGAGGTATCTTATTATTTTATACTTGTATACCGAACTGAACCATATACCATAAATTATGCTATATAATTAGTATAGTTCGTGCGATGTAACTCAATGAAAGGGTCATATAATCATTTAATAAGTTGTAACTGATTTAAGCTCATATCATAACCGAAAAGGTATTTGTGGCCTTTAGATATTGATTTATAAAGAGCTTTTTAAACGAGTTTTACCATTATAATTGAAAATGTGGACTAATTATAAAACGTTGAAGAGAAATTAGTTCATAATCGAGATTTTAATACTTTTTTAAGCTTCAAGAAGCCTTTTCAAAAGGTTTGCTAAAACCGGGATTGAATATTCCTCTACAAGAAGCTAAGAAGAAAGTCAATAATGTGGTGAGTACGCGTATAACATTTATGTAATTTATGTTTTGTTGGATTAATGAGCGAAAACGTCTGAAATGTCTGTTTTTGTTTGTGAGTTTGGCGCAAAAGCGCTAGTGTCCCATCTGCTGTAAAATATTTTTTGAATATCGATGTGAAACATTTACAGGCGGCTCTCAAGCAATGCTTGGCTGACTTCCGGAGAAATCTTCCTTGGGTGGAAAGGTTGGACTTAACCAACGGTCCTGTAGCTGATATTGTGGCAAAAGCTGACGGCAAGACATCCGTGGAGGATCGTGGAGAAATTAATGCTGAGGATGACTTCCAGAGGGAAATGCACTTGTGAGTATCTTTTTTGATGCTTAAAGCTTAAAGATACATGACTCCAATGCTGTTTTATATAGGGATCCTTTTTTATTCCTTCCCCATATAATAAAAGGGAAGGTATCAGTCCCATATTTACTGGAAATGGTGAAAGAGCATAATGCACAAACCCCAACCCCACAGTCCTGACGCATGTAGCTAGGTGAAGTACCATTTGTAGATGGCCTACAGTGTGTAAGGCAGGGGTGGGGAACCTCTTCCATGGAGGGCCAGTGTGGGTGTGCGTTTTTGGGATGGCCTCCCCATCAGGCAATAATAAAGCAGTGGTTCTCAACTCCAGTCCTGGGCACCCATTGTTATTGGCTGATTGAGAGGCCATCCCAAAAATCCACCCCCACACCAGTGGGGAAAAAAATCCATCTTAAAAATAATAGGAAAAGTAGGCATGGATGGATGGGAATACATGAAAATCTATACACCATATATTTGACAACATATTTGAATTATTTGAGAAAGGAACCCCTTTGGGGTGAATGCTTATCGGTTAGCAAAATTACAGCATTTAAGGAGTTTAAAATCAAATCTGTTTAATACACACAATGCTTCGTCTCAAACTTATTTCCAGTTACCGGCAGGCACAAGCAGCTGTCTTAGAGGCATTGCCACGGTTGCAGATGTTGAAGCTTCCCACCAAGCGTCCTGAAGATTACTTTGCTGAAATGGCCAAGAGTGATCAGCAAATGCAGAAGGTGTGTTTATGGTGATGCTCGCATTTTTACTCCAGCCTGAATATAAAAAGGTTGTACATAGGACTGGGCAATATTTTATTATGATAATTTTTGCATATCAAGCTGTATTGATAATTATCACAATGGAATTGAAGTCATTATTTCTGAACTTTAGCTCTTCATTTTTGCATAAAATTCTCTCAGAATTGCCCTTAAACATGAAAAAGGTGACAAAATGAATGGACTGCAGTGAAATTTAATTTTAATAAATACATCATACAAAAAAAAAAAACGCCATAGGATGGCGCCAAGGACCGTACCTTTTATTGCTATTTTTTTTTCTTTGACTGCCTTGTTCCAGGGAATGGGTTTGAGTAGGGCTGGGTGGTATGCCCTAAAAATGGTATCACAATATTTTCCGTGCTTTGCACAATATTCTAAAATTCATGTGTAGAAAATGGTAAAATGTGATGGATGGTTTTGAGTTTTTCAGCGTTTGGTGACCATATTGTTCTTGTCTTTTTTTTTTCCCCCTTGTAGATTAGAAAAAAGCTAGTGATGAAGCAGGCAGCGATGGAGAAGTCTGAGAAGGCCAAGAAACTGAGAGAACAGAGGAAGTACGGCAAAAAGGTGCGTGCCGTACCTGGCCAGCTTTACAAACGACATGACAGAATCGCAGGACTTTTCATTCAGCGTCTCAATTGTGTTTAATATCAAGATGTGTGTTGTGTGTTTTTCAGGTTCAAACTGAAGTTCTTCAGAAGAGACAGAAAGAGAAAAAAGCCATGATGACAGCTGTAAAGAAATACCAGAAAGGTGTGATGCTGTTTCAGTTTGGTTTGTTTGCCAAAGTCCAAATCTAAGGCCCTATCTACTGTTTGCTATTACTGGTTTATTGGTGTGTCAAAATGGATTTGGCTTGTTTAGGTGCATGTATGAGCTCTAGAACTGCAACTGACAGAATGTACACTGTAGCACGATACTAGCAATCTCTCCATAGAGGCAGGTCATGGAGAAATTTAAATTGTTCACGATCTAATATCGGCAAATCTCACACACCTAGACTGTAATGCATCATCTGCTGGAATTTAACATGGGAATCTTAGAATTCCCACTTTCCATGACAGTGTCATAGTTATGACTTTCTGGCTGATAGCAAGCGATTTAAGGATAACCAAACAGAGATCAGATCACCAATGATGCCATTTAGTTGTAGTGATCTTTCTCTAGTAGGAGTGTTGTTTGCTGACCGGAGTAATTCCGTGGGGTTCTGGTCCAGAGAAGGTTTTCAGTATCATAATCCTGGAGTTCTTGCACCCATCAGTGAAAATTAAGTGTGGGACTGGAACAGAATTAGTTCACCACAGCATTTCTGCTATGTAGTCCACTTTAAATCATTGCATTTACTACAAATTTGAGAGTTTGAGCAATGTAAATATACTATAGACTTAAATAGACAATAAATGAAGATCTAGATTTACTGTGACTTTGTTTATCCTTTGTAGGAATATCTGACAAGCTGGACTTCCTGGACGGAGATAAAGATAAAGGAAAGAAAGCGCTGGACAAGGCTGCGGCGAAGAAAATGTAAGAGCTGTCTTCATAGATTAGTAAAGCAGTAAATTGTTTTGCTAGATGTGCCGGTGGTAAATATGTCAGTGGCCATGACCCGTCTGCAGGCTTGTGGACCGTTTTGCCAAAATAATTGTGTGAATTCACAGCCACAGCCCCAGTGCCAAGAGGAAGTACAAAGACCAGAGGTTTGGGTTTGGTGGGAAGAAGCGAGGTTCCAAATGGAACACCAAGGAGAGCTATGATGATGTGTCGGGCTTCCGAGCCAAGGTGGCTCATGGGAAAGGGGGGAAGAAGTTTGGCAAAGGAGGACAGAAGATCCCTAATGTATGTACCCACCTCTGCCACAGTATCTGTATAAACATTATGTACGAATTCTGAAGACAGTTACTTTTTCCATATTTATAACATTTACAATTGTTATGTTTATTTGGCTGATTACTAGTTCTAACTGTGTGTAAGAATTGCTCTGTATTTTCACAAAAAGTTACCAATGTTCCATCAAATGGCACTTTTCCACTGCCACCAAGATCCGAGCCGTACCGCAAACAGATGGTTTTCCATTGTAAAGTATCTGAGCTTTACCTGGTCCAGCTTACGAGTGTGACCAAACTCAGCTGGTTGCATCACCACCATCTGATTGGTCGAAATGCATGGAGATACCAGTGATCTGCGAATAGATTATCTGAAGGAGAAAGCATATATTCTATATATTTTTCATTATTAGTTGTATCGCACATCGCAATGTATTGCTGCATTCCCACTAGAGAATGGCGGAATGGAATGGATTCAATATGCCAGTGGAAAAGCGCCAAAAGTGTTTTGAGTTACTTTGAGTTGCTGCTTGTCTGATTCCTTTTATCTCATGATTCTCTTGCAGAAGCGACCAGGCAAAAACGCGCGAAGAAAGATGAAAAGTCGATCTTAATGGCCTGCATGCGTCCTTAGGCTGCTGTTTTTTTTTTTTTGTCGTTAAACGAACCAACAACCTCTGTGCAGGAGTGTGGTGTAGTAGCCTGTAAAATCACACGCGCTTCTTTGAGCTTCCTGCATTCTGGCGTACGGCACCAGAACAGACTGTCATTTCTGTAAGACTCTCTGAGGCGACTGAGTTTGGGGGGCTGTGGTGTCTGAGAATAAGTCTGGTTTTTGACCCCCTCCGCAAACGTGGGAAACAAGGTGGTGCTTATCCAGGCACGTTAGTTTTTCATTTTTCATTCCGGCAGATTTTTATTGTTATAGTTGAGTAGCCCATGATGGAACGGTTTCCTGCGGTTCATCAGGATGACAGATTTCCCCCCCCCCCCAGAAGACTTCTTCCACTGAGAGGACTGGATTTAATGTTAATAGTTGTGTGAAGAGTTCAATGACAATATGCCAATGTAATGATTTAAAAAAGATTGCTTGATTATAGCCATTTGTCATGTTGCTAAACTTCATTTTATGCACAAGTAGAAAGGGTACAGTGTATTTGTTGCATTTCATCAATATGACATGATTCAAAGCGTGTTCATGAATGTCAACAGTTTATTTATACCATTTGTATTGTCCAGCTATGAATTGTATGATTTCGGACAATAAAACTCTACCCTAGGTTTCGTGTCTGCTCCTGTAACCGCCATGCTGCATCCATGAACTTGGTGATTTCGGACTGTTGACGAGGGAAGTTGAGTCTTCGGTCGCTACGATCTGAAATGATCTGTGCATTTAAGCAGCATTAGTCAGGTTTAATCTTATGTGAAATATTTAAATCCTAAATGCAATGGTAATGAAAGCAGGATTATATACAGATATTTAACAGCTGCTGTGTGTGTCAGTTGCCTTACCAAGGGTGTTGATATCCAGCCAATCTCCTGGCTCTCAGTCATTGGCTGGGTGTACTTCTTTCTTGGTTCCATTTGACCTCTATGGATTACTTCCAGAAAAGCACCTAACAGAAAATGATGATAGTTACTTCTGGTAGGTAAATATATCCTAATTATAGAAAATAAGATGGATGGATGATAGGAAATGATTATAATTTCTGCTTCAATGAGTACACCAAATACCACCAAAAAAGAATGGGAAGATAAGGCGGTGTAACAATGCATTATGTAGTAACTCGATAGAATGTAACAAATTGAATGATGATTATGATAATAATAGGGTGATGTTGCAATTTAAAATTGTAATTTCTATAAATTTGTTACATTCTGTTGAGTTATCACATAATGTGTTGTTTCATGGTGTGTAACACGTAATATCACATGTGATGAAAATTTGTTACATTTTATCAAGTTATGACAATGCATTGTTATATGGCGTACCTTTTGGAAGGTTTACAGGTGTCTGCTACAGTCGGGTGTTGTAAAAGAAAATTATAAAATATAGGTTCCAGTTATTGAAATAGTTAAATAGAAGGCATGTTTACCAGGTCTTTAGATATATGGGAAAATAATGTGATTTTGAAGTTATTCATGCAGATGAAGAATACCGGTTATTCCTTGACCTACGCAAGGAGATTTCAGGTTCAATTGAGAACGAACTAGTAGACAGAATGCAGTAAGAATGCTGTGAGCTTTACAGATTTGCTTAGGGAAATGATCTACCAGACAAGTTCAACCTGGCTGGTAGATTCAGAACAGAATCTTGTTTCTTTTATATATACAGTGCGATCCAAAGTGAAACCATGTTGAAAAACCGGGATTTCATTCATTTAATTCTAGACAGTAAGTTCTGGCACGAGCTAAAGACATACCAGCATTTCACCGTGCATCATTAGAAATAAGTCCTATTTGCTGATGAGACCAAGTTTGAGATTTAGGGCAGTATAATGTCCTCAACCTCACAGCATATTTATGGGGGCACTTGAAGAACGAGAAAGTCAATAATTCAGTAACATCGGAAGATGCTTTTTGGAACAGCATCGAATCATGCTGGGGTAACAAGGATCATTAGGTTTTGCACAAACTTCTGGAGTCATCGCCAGCTCAAGTGCAGTCAACGATTCAGCTAATAAAATTTTTATGCTGATAATTTGTAATGAACTCTTCCGTACTTATAGGACAACACAGAAAATGACTTACAGAAAATGAATTAATGATGAATGAATATTTAATGAGAAAGGAATGCAAAATAGAAAGATTTTTACCAGTGCTGTCATTACAAATTATCAGCATAAAAATTTGATTAGCTGCATCATTAGAAATAAGTCCTGACTGTTGCCCCCAACGATACGAAAGATCTTTCTTTATCACCTCTGTCGCATTTTGAGTGGTCAAACTGAACATTTTCTTTCTCTTGCATTTTATTTTATTTTTAAGAAAACCGCACGGCGCAGCTGTATACATGTAACACTTACGGTCCCCCTCTTCATCGTTGTCGGTTTTCCGTCCCATGGGCTTGTCAGTTAATGGATGGACTGCAACATAAATGGGTACACGTCAAGAACACCAAGGTAACATTTTAGTTATTCTTAATTGCAGGCGTGCATCGTATAACTCAGTGTGGCCGTACACTTTGTGTAGGGATTGATACGAAACTCCGTGTACAGTTTCTGACACCGTAGTTCCTTCCGTATCGTCTCGACCCGAATAGCATTTTGGTGAACAGCGTCCACTACTTTTTCCTGGGGTTTAACGGCTGCCATTTCGCCGATTAACGGAGCTGGCAAAGCCTCTCTACCGAAGCGAAGCTGTCGGTGGACGCGGTTCCGTTGCGCGGCAACAGTAAACGAGCCAGGGGAAACAATTATAATTCCGCCAGGGGGCGCCCCATACGCAGTTATCGGCGCACGAAATCTTGAAAGTTAAGTCATTGAACTGTAGTTTAGTGTTTAGTTGTGGGAAGGGATCGTAAATCTATCCGTACAACGTGTGTGTCCGTGGTAATAAATAAACAAACAAACAAACAATTAAGTAAAAACTGTAGACTAAAAATTGCGTTTTGATTACAATGTCAGAATTTGCCATGGTGTTGACCCCTAGTTGTGAGACCTGGTTATTTTTCCAGTAGCTATTGTTCTAATAGAAATAATCACCACAGATTCACTTTTCAAAATATGCATTTTTTTGAAATGAGGTTATATTACATTGTAGTATATAATGCTGGCAGTTTGTGGAAATCATGGGCTCTCTTCTGGCGAAATGAGCATTAAAGACTTAAACTGCTGGTAGTCAGGATGGCAACACAAAACTGCATAGAGCGTAAAGAGTCGCTCTTTCTTCAACATCTCGGATTTAACTTTAGATTGGCATAATTTTAGGAGACTTCCCATCAAAGGTGCTCAGAATGTGCTTATATATTACTATAAAGCAAGGAAATCTATAAATATTTAGCAATAATTATTTAATAGCCTATATTAAATATATAGTTATCTTAATTTGATCGAACCCTTCTCTTAAGTTCACCTACTTTATATCTGCTTCCTATAAATTAATAGAAAATGTCGGTACTGACTAATACAGCTCAGTTACTGGATAGATTTTTGTCAACAAGTGTTTGGTTACTTTTCAAAACATCGAAAAGGAAATATTTCCATAGCTATGCGTTACTAAGCCTGTGCTATTTTGTAACAATGTCACTACATTTCCAACATCAATATTGTTTTAGTAAAAGCTGAAAAAAGTGTCAGATGCATGACTTCTCTCTTTCTAAAGTTTCACCTTTCACAGGTGCATGGAAAGATCGCTCTGCGAGACTCTTATCTGCAGCGAAGCCATGAGAAAAGTGTCTCCGGTGCAGAAACGGGGCTCTCTGTCTGTCTCAGACCGCCAGTCATCCGTAACCACAATCGCACACGACATATAAATAAATCCTTGATCGTCTCCACAGACTTTCCGATAAAGCGAGTGCTAATCTGACGCAGATCGCTTTGTACTGCATGTGTAGAGTGGAAAACGCTAGCTGTGTGGGTTCACATGAATGCTCCCGCTATCGCCCTTCGGCTCCATGGCTGCGGCTTTATTATGGAGGAGACCTCTTTCCCCTAAACACCGGCGAATGGGAGAGACGGGAAAATCGTAATCTTGGAGATAAACAGACACCCGCCGCCCCCCCACCCCCGTCTATCAGCTATGACTGTCTTAACTGTTTTTTTATTCACCCAGGTGCTGGGATGGCAATTCATTTGTAGGAAATGTCTACATATTGCACTTTGCCTAGATGTCAGATTGTACGTGTCACCTACCCGCCACACACACACGCATGCGCACACACACACGCGCGTTGGTAAGTATATCTTTGTGGGGACTCTCCATTGATTTATATGGGGAAAACTCTAATCCCAACGTGACGACCTTGAACCCTACCCAGCCCTAATCTTAACCACAAGTAACCAAACAAAAACAAAACATTTTTAGTTTTTTGAGTTTTTTTGCTTTCACAGATCTTTGTGGGGACCTGAAAAATGGTCAAAATAACGTAAAAATAACAGGTTTTCATTACATTGTTAGGAACATTTGGTTCCCACAACGCAATATAAATATAACCCNATCTCCCTGTTATGTCTCTGCAGTGACATTGTACTTCTCAGGTTTGTATGTGTCTGGGGAGCAGAGGACAGAAGTTCTGATATTTAACAGGCTCTGAGTTAAGGACAGCAGCATGGGAGATATTAAAGACAGCTACTGTTATGTTAAACCTGCTTTGGGACGCCTTCTGTTGTGGGGTTATAACATATGCCAAGGGGAAGCAACACATTTTACTCTCAAATTGCAGTGCAAATAAAACATAAAACATAAACCCAACAGTTGTCTCAGAATAAAGGAACCAGTGAAGGAACTTAGCTGCATTCGTTTTGAAACACAGCAAGAAGATGAACAGATATGAAATAACTGCCAATTTAATTTAATGTTTTATCAGTCAACTTAGTACTGGATTCCATGCTCCAAATGTCCATGTTAGTTAGCCTGCCTCTGTAATGTCCCATTGGCTGTCGAGTGCATCTCTCGTCAAAACCTCCAAACATACTCATACGTGGTGTTTTCATTTGACCTAAAAACAGTGATGCTTCACACAGCTAATCTAATGACTATTTTAATTCTGTTTTCTGCCTGTTATGCAGCCATATCATCATTTAAACATCATTTAAAGTGAAGTTGCAATGATACACAATGAAGTTTTTTCCCAGTGAGTGAAAATGTATACGATTAATACCACGATTAACACTGCAGATATATCCGAATCTTCAGACACTTGGAGTTCTTGGCAATTAACAATTATTTATTATTAGTGTTAACAGAATATTTGTCGCTTTGTGTTTGCATTCTTAGTGCAACACAAATATTTTCATTAGAAACACAAGGAGGACATTTTCAGCAATCTGCAGGCTTGGTAGATCTAATTTAGCCGTTGAGTTAGAAATACTAAAACCCTTTTGAACTGCGTGTATGATTGTAATATTATAAAGGAAACATAATGGTTATAATAAATGAAATTGTAGTCAGGATTTGGGGATTTTGTTACTGTGGCATGAACATTCATCTTTTTTTCATCATTCTAAGCCAGTGATCAGTAAATCATCACGATGAATTTTGAGGCAATGACACTTAAACCCAGACCTGTTGTGTGAGAGATGGGTCCATCGCTCATGTCACATTCCTTCGTAAAGTGGCCTTTGTTTGGAAAGGGGATCTCTTCTGTACACACACCGGCGTGTCGTGCCACTGTGGGATTCATTGACAGGTGAACAAGGCACAAGTAAGACCAGGTTTACAGATGAAATCCTTCAGATTTTCATTGTTGACATTACATGGACTCTTTTAAGGTTTGCAGATGTTTGTTTTTTGAGCTTAAGGAGAACAATCAGGAGAAGAGAAGAGTGATTTCTCCCATGAAGGGACTTGATTGTGACTGATACACAGTCAAATGGTACAGAAGTACTCAAACTGCTCATGTCGGTGAATTCATATCTCCCATCAACGGGTTTCGCATGGTAAACTCTGCTGGTCGTTGGAAAAGTGAAATTCTGATTACTTTATTTTCTGTGCTCATTTTCCAGGAATTTCCACATTTTCTAAGTCGCTCGTCTCAGTTTACACATATAATTTACCTAGGTATATAAATAAAGAACGTAGGTTGACTGTTTTTTTCCCATGGAACAAGAACAGTACAAGGAGCCTGATTTGTTTTGTAGGTCATTTAATATGTGACAGCTCCTTGTTTAATCTTTTAAAAGCATAACTTTGGGGATGATTAGATCATGCCCGAGTTGGGTAAACCAACTCTTCTTTAAGATGCTGGGGGAAATTCGATTGTGGTTTCTTCCTCTGCTTGACAAGCCAACTAAACGTCAGGTCTGTTCACAGCTAACCACTTCGCCGCACGACAAAAGCAGTGTTGGATTTCGGGCTGAGAAGCAGGAACAACATGTGGGCCCTGGGTCCTGGTCTCTGTGGTGGAAGTGTGGTGGAGATACTGTTGCTGCTGTCAACTTGGTCCTCCCCATTGAGCTCTGTCGCATTTATGTAGACAAGGAAGGCAAAACCAGTGTAACCTTAGTCATCTGTTAAGAGGCGTTGTCAGTCTTTTTTTTTTTGTTGAATCAAGTAACCTCAGTATGTAGGAAATGACATTACAAACAAAAGTCATATGTGTAAAATAATATGCATCCACAAAGGAGGGTAGAGTAACTGTTTGTGAAGATGTTCTACTGGATTTCCATTTCCAGGGAAGAAATGAAGGGGTCAAAAATATACTCTTTAGCAGGAAAAGTTTATATTTCGATCCCTTTAACAGCAGAGAAGGTTTAGCCATGCCAATCTGTAACCATGAATAAATATGAAGACTGACTCAGATGATGAGAAGTTAATGTAGATTTGAGTAGTTCAATTTACTACAAATTAAGCTGTAATTCCCATGCAGAGTTGCTTGAAGATTACTTTCCTTGTTTCTGTCCATTGTCTAAACTATTTATCCAGTTGGCGGTAGTGAGGTTTATGGGTCAAATTTGCTAAAAACCTCCTAAATATTTGTAATGCATTTCAAGAGTTAACAGGATACTTATCTAAGTTTCATGCTGGCAGTGTATCCAAGAAGCACTGAGTGATTGAACCTGACAGCTGAAGTCTGAAGTCACATTTTTTGAAATCTAGTAAAATCCTCTCCCACCCTTTGCAAGAATTTTTTGGGTTCTTGTTCAATGCTTTATTAAAAAAAAACACATTCATTGACATTCCATGAAAGTTCAGTTTGAAAACCTTCAGGTAAAAATTAAAAAATCATATGGGATTTCCTCCTGTAGTGTCTTAGTTTGTGGTCAGAAGCAATTCAGTTTTGAGATTAATATTGAGGAAGGGAACAACAGCAGCACATTAGACCTTACAAAGATCTGCATTATGTGGAAATGTTTAACTTTTTTAAGTACTATCAACATAGAGGAATTCCTTAACTCGTCTCTTGTTTACACAGGTGTAACTCAAAGCACACCTTGCTCAGCTCTTCCCATGAGGAATGTCTGGGGAGCGATACCTCATCATCTGACACTTTCCGAGATGACAGTGAGGCAACCATGATAGAATCGTCAAGGCTTTTCACCTGGAAGGTTCCCCAATGTTACAGTTTTGATGCAGTAATTTAAATCCTTCAACTGTGTACCACTTAACAGCGTTTTACAGCCTCAGCTTATTTTTCACTTGCATTCTCAGTCATAAAAAAATAAGGCATTGGATTAAAGGTAAAATGCACAGAGCTGATTGGTGG